CTCTCCCAGACAGTTGTAGCAGAGTATGCCCTGGAGGGATTGTGTGTCAGTGATAGACTTGCACGGGTTTGGGTGAATGCCGGCAAACTGGGTTTGCACCCCGCACAACACTATTGACTACCTGCCAAAAATGCTAGTTGCCCGGGCTGTTGTAATTAGTCCATGGCTTTATAAGAAACCTGTCATTAAAAAAATCATGATGTCCACCATCGCTGGCCATTCCATCCAAAATGCTAATTGCCTGGCTGTCATGGTGATTCATTGACTTCATTGCTTTTTGAGCCACTGACCTGGAACAAGTATAAAAGATAAAGAATGGAATTTATCCAAACGGGAGCAGACAAAATCTAGGGCCGCTGTGCATGGCAATCAAGCTTCTCTCTTTCATTTTCAAATCTTAACTGAACAGATTAGAGAGAACAGCTGATAGGTTGACAGATTGGAGAGAGAAGCTGAATGGTTGCCATGCACAGCTGCTCCAGATTTTGTCTGCTCCATTTTTGATAAATTCCCTCAAAAGTGTTCTGAGCCCCATTCACACTTGAGTGTGAGCATCTTTAGGTATCGTACGCTCATTCCCAATAAACTCTATGGAGCCAAAAATACATAAGTCTGCCTAAAAAGAAGCTTGTCTAATTTTTTGAGTCCGCGCCCATAACATACACGCATATATTCGTCAGGTGCGCCTGACGCTGACTTTTATGTTTTACTAAAAATACATAAGTCTGCCTAAAAAGAAGCTTGTCTAATTTTTTGAGTCCGCGCCCATAACATACACGCATATATTCGTCAGGTGCGCCTGACGCTGACTTTTATGTTTTACTAAAAATATGGGTAAGAATAAATGTTTTATAACATAACGTAGGGAAACTTTCTTGTTTTTTTTTTTACATTTATGGTACTTTTTAAATTATATAGTAAAAAAAAAAATACCCCCCGTGGTGATTATATACCTCCAAAAGAAAGCTCTATGTGTCCCCAAACTTTTTTAACATAAATTGCAAGGCTATAGTCCGGTCATGCTGACTGGTGAAATTTTTGACTACCTACTGAGTGTTACTAATTCTCAATCCATATTTCCAAGGATGGAATTTATCTTTAAAGAGAACAAAAAATATTTGATTTATTTATTTAGTTGTATAAAACAGTGAATTCCGAACTATGTGCTTAAACTTACTGTGACATGAGCTGAATATAAGATTATACACTATATTGCCAAAAGTATTGGGACACCCCTCCAAATCATTGAATTCAGGTGTTCCGTGAAATGTCCTTGCTACTAAATATTCCACGGTCACCTGTTAGTGGTATTATAACAAAGTGGAAGCACCTGGGAACAGCAACTCAGCCACAAAGTGGTAGGCCACATAAAATGACAGAGCGGGGTCAGCGCATGCTGAAGTGCGCAGAAGTCAACAACTGTCTGCAGAGTCAATAGCTACAGACCTCCAAACTTCGTGTGACCTTCAGATTGGCACAACAACAGCGCGTAGAGAGCTTCATGGAATGGGTTTCCATGGCCGAGCAGCTGCATCCAAGCCTTAGATCACCAAGTGCAATGCAAAGCGTCGGATGCAGTGGTGTAAAGCACACCGCCACTGGACTCTAGAGAAGTGGGGACGTGTTCTCTGGAGTGATGAATCACACTTCTCTGTCTGGCAATCCGATGGACGTGTCTGGGTTTGACGGTTGCCAGGAGAACGGTACTTGCCTGACTGCATTGTGCCAAGTGTAAAGTTTGGTGGAGGGGGGATTATGGTGTGGGGTTGTTTTTAAGGGGTTGGGCTTGGCCCTTAGTTCCAGTGAAGGGAACTCATAAGGCATCCGCATACCAAGACATTTTGGACAATTCCATGCTTCCCATGGATGGCCCATTCCTGTTCCAACATGACTGCGCACCAGTGTACAAAGCAAGGTCCATAAAGACATGGATGAGTGAGTTTGGAGTGGAGGAACTTGACTGGCCTGCACAGAGTCCTGACCTCACCCCGGTAGAACACCTTTGGGATGAATTAGAGCGGAGACTGCGAGCCAGGACTTCATGTCCAACATCAGTACCTGACCTCACAAATGCGCTTCTGGAAGAATGATCAAACATTCCCATAGACACTCTACTAAACCTTGTGGACACCTTCCCAGAAGAGTTGAAGCTGTTATAGTGGCAAATGGTGGGCCAACTCAATATTGAACCCTATGGACTAAGACTGGGATGCCATTAAAGTTCATGTAAGTGTAAAGGCAGGCGTCCCAATACTTTTGGCAATAAAGTGTATATACTTGTGCAGTTTTGTATCCAGGTACTTAACTGTTCGCGTACAGATTATTCTAAAATATATTCATTACCCTGGTTTGTTTTTTTTGTTTATCAGTTTTCATTCTAGATTTACGCAACATTGACCCACGCTAGAGTTAGTTTATTTTTTCTAATTGATTTTTATGCGAAATAAGTGAATTAACATTGATAATAGAGCCCAATGACACATACCACGATAATATCACACATCTAAATGTAAATTACAAATTATATTTTCCAAACTCCTATATTTATTTGACTACAATAAAATATGCTCTTTTGTCTTTAGTTTCTAAAATTCTTTACTGTATAGAGCACAAGTACCTTTTTTAAGCTGTGACCTAATTCCCATTAGCTGCACTAACTACCTTATTTTGTTTTTAAGCTTGCAACATCATGTCTTGGATTCGTGACAAGGAGCTGTCATTGATTGAAAGGCTATGTGCAAATGTGTTAAAGGTAGGTAAACTTATATTATGCAAAAGAACTCTAAACAACATTCATTGTATGCAGACATCAGTAGAAAAACTGTAGTGAATAACACATATCTAATTTTTCTCGGTAGTATGTTGTTTATTTGTGACGGATACCTATTTTTAATTCTCGTAATGTGGTTACGAGACTGAAAAAGTTGCTCCCCACATTACCACCTGCTTGTTCATGCGTTTAACAATGGAAGGGCGATATAACTTAGTCCTGTTCTCTATGTTTTCCAATAGGCTGGTCCAGTGCCTAAACATGTTGCATTTATAATGGATGGGAACCGAAGATATGCACAAAAATGTCACGTGGAGAGACAAGAGGGTCATTCTCAGGGCTTTGAAAAGCTTGCAGAGGTTAGAATTTGAACCTGGCCACTAAATATAAATTACATACGTTACATATTTCCTAAAATTCTTTACTTTTTGTTTATATATGTGGGAGTTAGAGGTTTGTGGTCAGAGAAGATAAAAATAAATGTTTGCAATATGTTAATAGGGGTCCCTCTGTACAATAACATGGAAGCACCTCTACCTCCCAATGCCTCCTTGCAAACAATAGCACTCAGCTGCTTAAAATGCTTGGTAGACTGAGGTCCACTCACAAAAACAGAAAACGCTTCCCACAGGGAATGATTGTGTTTTAGGATGCACTTAAGTAGTATTATTTCTGGTCTGGACAGGGCTGTGTGCGGTCTTAGGAGGATGTGCCATATCTCACCAGGGCTGCGTTCGGGTCTTCCTAATGCTGTCTCACCAGGGCTATGCAGGCAAGTGCGGGGCTGTCTAGCGCTGTACCGGTCACTGCGGCAGCAGAAAGGAGAAAGATGTGGGGCTGGACCAGCGCTGTAAACGATAGCCACCGCAAGGTCTCCAGCAGGCTGCCTGAGATCCCCAAGAAGGGCGGGACCTCAGGCAGCTGCACCTGTTTAAAAATGTAAGGGGCCAGTATCAGGGCTTTTTCACGAGTACAAGTACTTGTGAGAATGCCCAGCATCTTTGCATCCCTACCCCTATGTTATGGAAAGTGGGAGGTGTTCAGAAGTCCTAACACTTTCTGTCCTAGGATGACAGCATTGCTCCTCCCTAGATGCAGTATGGTAAATAAGCATTGTCACCCTAGAACAGGAAGTGTATTACTGACAGGATCACCAAGTAAAAATAAAGAAAAAACTAGCTTGGAAAAAAAAAAGAAAACAGCCACTGCATCCAAGTAAATGTACCCTGCAATTTGTTAGATTTTGTTCTTGGGATTAATGTGTAATCTAAACCCAACATGGCAATTTAAATGCGTCTGCTAGACAGCATGGCCATTAACTGAAGCTAATCGTTGATGTCAGAGGGCAGCAGGAGGGTCAGTCATTTGCAACAAAAGCTTTTCCAGTCCTCCCAGGAATAATTATGGCCTTGTGAAGCACAAGATTACTGTGCATGACATCACTAATGTTACTCCTGGGGAAAGACATCCCTACTGACATTACTAATGACTGATGCCAGGGTACAGTAAACAATACTGCTGATTTAGGGTAATTAACATTGCTACAGGCTAAGATTAGTAAAACAAATGTTTTTTTTTTTTTTATAATAGTTCTTTTATTTTTCTTCCTGTTTATAGACACTGCGGTGGTGTTTAAATCTCGGTATTTGTGAAGTGACAGTTTATGCTTTCAGCATTGAGAATTTTAAGCGTTCGGGGGAGGAGGTTGAAGGCCTAATGGAACTAGCTCGCCAAAAATTTACCCGTCTTCTGGAAGAAAAGTAAGTCTAAGGGTTGCAGAACAGAATACATAAGAAAAAATATACTTTCTATCAACAGCATAATAGATGAAGTGCAGGTTTATAATAATACAGATAATTACTGTTTGAATCTATACATGGTGTATAAATGCAGATCGGCATGTGTCCCATCCCCATGCATGACCAATACACTCAATCCTAGGCCCCTTGCATTCCCTGCTGTGATTGTGTTCATTTTTAAACATTACTCATGCAGTAAGCCCTAATTTCTTGACATAACCCTTACACTGTGTCCATTGGGAATAGGGGGGGGACCCTCCTATTCCCTCCATCCATGCATCTCCCCTTCCCTACTCTACATTTCCATCTTTGTACTTCCTTTTTTTACTCTTTCCACCCTTCTATGCCAGCACCTTCTGGTAGAATCGGCATCCTCAAAAGGGCAGTGCATCCTGTTCTGGAGTAGATCTGCCCACTTACCCAGTACTGTTTCATGCTGGATGTTCAACTGACACAAAGGCCAGTCCTGTAGCACACTAATACACAGTGATTTTATTGTACTGGAATATGAGTGAGACTTTTGTTATACTTCAAATTATATCTGCCATTATGAAATATCTCACCTGAAATGGAGCTGGTACCCTGCTCATTTCTACTGTCCTTTTCTACTCCTGTATGTATTGTTGTGTATTTAATGTGTTATTATCTTATAAAATATAATAAGAAAGGAAACACATTTGGTTTTAAATTTAGCTGATCTAACAGGTTCTTTTTTAGTATTTTATTAGATAAACATTTAAGTTCTGGCTTTTTGTGCACAGAGATAAACTTCAGAAGCACGAAGTTTGCATTCGAGTATTGGGGGACTTGACTATGCTTCCACTTGACATCCAAAAACTTATTGCACAATCTGTCCTGGAAACCAAGAACTATTCTAAGTGAGTATTTTCAGCTATTAATCATTGATCATTTTGTTGGGAATATTAATTTATTATGTGGATTACCTTACCACACTTTCCTCACTGGCTAGGTAAGGATCAGTCCCAACACCCTCTGCTGTTCTGAAATTTGTGAATATGTCAGCTGTGTTTCTGTTTGTGCTAAATTTTTTTAGCACAAAATGCCAAGTTCTAAAACAAAAAACCTCATGGACATAAGTGATAGGGTTTGTAGGAATAGGTTGGGAAGGACCGCAACAAATTGCACTGATGAGCCAGATACAGGACGTAGAATTCATAATGTACCTATTGACCATGTGTTAGATCAGCCTATTAATTTGCGCAAAAGCAGTAGTGGGTAGTAATAGTTAACCAGTCGTGGACACTGGACATACTACACATGTCCAAAAAAACTTAAAGGGTTATTAAACCCTCATGTTTTTTTGCATATATCTACCGCTAGTAAGCAGTAGATATATGCAAAAGGTATTTTTTAAACAAAATGCTTTGAAAGGGGTTAACACTTACCCGTGTATTCCCCGCGCGCTCCCGTCCGAAAATGTGAAAATTCTCGGTTGGCCAAAAAGCATCTTGTGGCGAGCACATGCGCAGTTCACATTTACGGCCGGGATGCGAGGAGAGAAACAAGGTAAGTCTATGGACGCCTGCACCTGCATGCAGACACCGTGGGACAGGAAGTGCCAGCAAGCTCAGAGTCGTCAGCGCTGGATCGGAGACCCGCCGCAGCGCTGGAGGGGCAAATGAAAACATCAGGAAAGAAGATCGGATTAAGAGACCTGACATTAACATTGGGGGGAGGGAAAAAATTTTTTGACTTCAATGTCACTTTAATCAAAGTACCACAGGGTGTATATAGCATGCCAAGTCCTTCTGCCCCACTGCAGCATCATCTCCAGCTTGACTGTCCCTGGCCTGCCTCTTTAATTCATTAGATTTTATTGCTTTCACTCATGGTGTCTCATCGTTACATGTAGGGAATTACCTAGGGAAGTCTGCACGCAAATGCAATTTGACAAGGAATGGCCACTTCTCCAGACTGACATCCACCCATCAAGGCATTTTGATATTTGCATAATTCCTTCCACTGAGGACTCTTCAGAGGGGTACTAAAGGTCCCCGCACACCTTGCAATAATCGTACAATAATCGCGGGATATCCCACGATCGTACGATTATCGTAAGGTGTGTGGAAGCCATGCGACCTCTACTACTGTAAGGTCGCACGACTTTTAACTTACGAACATGTTCGAAAACTCTCCGAGCATCGTACGATGTTCGGCGGGTGTGTAGCATGTTCGTAAGATAAAAGCCGGACGGGCCGGTGTGCGCAAGCGCACACTGCCCGTTCGGCATTGCGGTCATCGGAAGCCTGCCCCTCGGGGGCGCGGCTTGCGATCATCGCAAGTACGATCTGCCTGTCCAAGATAGGCAGATCGTACGTTTTTTTTAAGTACCTTACAACCATCGCAAGACAAAAGTCTTGCGATGGTTGTAAGGTGTGTACCCAGCATAAGGCAGGGGGTGGTGATGTTTTCGGGAAACTATTTACAGCACCTACCCGACTCCTTGCACCAGCTATGATCTGCCTGAATTGCGTAGAACACTGGGTCTAAAATAGGGTTTGAAATAAAATGTAATTAGCATGTCAGTAGGGGGAGGGGGAGAAACGGGGAAGTCAAAATATAAGTATATTCAACTTAAGCTTTATAGAAGTCAGGTATTGAAAAGTCTCTCCTTGAGTTCTGTGAATTTAGAAAATCCTTATATTTGGAAGAGATAAGGATGATGCCAAATAAATGTAGCAGTTCTGCATCATCCCAGTTGGAAAAAGAGTGGTTAAGTGGTGAACTCCATATTATGAGCACTATGGGCAGTAGGGTATCCTGTGTTCTAAGAACATGTGTTGATGGGTCTCGGCTTACACTGCTTCAGGAGTATGTTTTTGGAATCGCTTAGCTTCAGTTTGGTTACATAGAGTCCACACTGTCCATTGACCACAAACCTAACACATTTTTAGAGTATCAGTCAGTATCACAGCTGTGAAGTCCTATCTTATTTTACTTTAGGTTAGTTTACAAGTCCCTCCAATGCTTATCGGGCAGTTTCCTGGATGTTTAGTCCCCTAGCTTACATACAAAGTCAGGGTCATAAGGTACTGTTACTTCATTGCTGTAAAACCCATATTGTCTCTAGTAAAAGGGCTCCAAAACATGCAGAATATGTTTATTATGTAAACCACCAACCAAATAATCCTGAGAATGCATTTTTTTCACCAGCCTTCTAATTTGCCATGGCTGCATACAAAGTTCATATTTGTTCATATAACGTTACATTTATTTATGTTCAGATGAAAATCTAAAGCCTTATTTTAGGCTAATACACTTTGTTTGCCTTCCCCCTAAACAAAATGTAATTTAATTTTTTTGGTCTTTAGGTGTTTTTTGAATGTTTGCTTCGCTTACACATCCCGACATGAGATCAGCAATGCAGTCCAAGAGGCAGCCTGGGGAGTCCAGCAGGGGCTAATAGAACCTAGGTATCCGTCAAGGAGAAGGGTTTGAACCACATCTATCCCTGTGTATCTTCATATAGTCTGAAAATATAGTATTTATGATTTAATGTTTCATTGTATCTGATCTGCATATGTTATTACTGAAGTATAGCTGCTTATCTGTGTTTTTAAGGGAATTATTACACCAACTGTAAAAGGAAAGGGGCAAATCAAAAGGTTTACTTTAAAGCCAGCCTCTAGAGCAGCTTATAATTACCTTTGCTTTGCTCACCCACCATTGGGAAATCCAGAGAACGTGCTCTGTGTAACTGTAAAAATAAGTCAAGGCAACTGGACTTGCTATATTTTTCTTAAGTCCAGTTGCCTTGACTTATTTTTTACAAATATACCATGACCTGGATGAATGAGAACCTTCACAGACATGCTATGTGTAAGCCCTGGACACAATTTCAGTGAGTGCCTACACGAAACTGTGGAGTATTATCCACTCCCATGTGACCACTCAATGCCAGTCTTCAAGTACTAGTCCTGTCACACGATCCCCATACCAAAAAGTAGTGAGATATTTATCTTTGATCCTGGAAGAGAAGGAAAAAATTCACGCTGTGTGAACCTATTACTATGCCCTGTGTGAGCAAAGCACAGGTAAATTCAATTAAGCACACCAAAACAGCATAATATTCCTAGTGCAAGATTAGCGTGGTAACAACTGTAACATAATCTAGGTCAAGAACTGCTTGACTCATATTCTTTTTCATGTTTTTCAGTGATGTTACTGAAAATCTTCTGGATCATTGTTTGTACACCTCACATTCCCCAGATCCTGATCTCCTTATACGTACATCTGGCGAAGTTCGTCTCAGTGATTTTCTGTTATGGCAGGTCTGTTTCCTTCTACCAGTCTTAATATAGAGTACCGTGAAATCGAGTTCTTTTCATATAGTCTTTAAATGGAAGCATGACCTTTTTTGTTTTTTTAAATATAGGAGAGAGTGTTAACTGTGTACAATTAAAAATAATTAGAAGGGGCAAATTATTTTTAATAAGACATCTCTATTGTTCTCCATTTTTGTGTTTGTGGCTGTATGTTTCTTTGTTTAACAATGTCTGGGTGTATATTACTAAGAGGTATATTTAACAAACAGTCTGTAGAGCCATTCATACTGCAAAACTCTGTGGAAGTTTGTTCTGTGCAAATGGAGGCAAAAATTAATATTCTTAGTACATTTTCTTTCCAAGTCAAATGTAATCTTGAATATATCACATTATGGACACTAGATGGAGTTGAGGAATGCAGGAAGTAAATGCTTCTTTTCTGTGCTCTTTAGCTCCATCTACTGGCCATATGTGGGTTTTTACCTCCCGATATTGCATTCAAATTTGAAAGAAAATATACTTGGATTTTTGCCTCCATTTGCACAGAACAATCATGCACATTCGTGAATTGTTTATAAATAAGCCTCTAAGTGTCTTTCCCTAGTCAGCTGACAAATCGGAAGGTATTCCCATGATCACCTTAATAGGAATCGGCTTTGAGCATTCTTTCTTTTACATCTTCTTTCTTCTACAGACATCACATGCCTGTTTGGTGTTCCAGTCAGTTCTGTGGCCGGAGTACACTTTTTGGAACCTTTGTGAGGCTATCTTGAGATATCAGTACAATCACAGTGCCATCCAGGTGAACATATTATTGCTAGTGTAAAAAAAAACCTATTCCAATATGCTCCTTTTATTCCTGCAAAGCTGGCGTTTCGCCCTTTGTTTATTTGGACCACAATGTCTAATTTATTATCATGTGCTCTACTTGCAGAAAGCCAGAGACCTGTATGGCAAGCAACTAGCTAGGCTGCAGAAGGAAAATGACCTGGACTGGGTACATAAGAAACTGTGGGGTGTAGAGCATAATGATGAAGAGGAGAAGACAAAGGCTTATCAGAGACTGCTGCAACAATGCAGAACAGAGAGAGAAGAAAGAACACATAATTTTCTACAAGCACTGGAAAGAAAAAAAGGGGAATTTCTACTGACACTGTGTGCCAGTTAGGTGGGACAGAAAATTGCTTTGTCTGTAGCAGGATTTCACAACTCTTTTCCTCAGGTATGAGAAACGGGTCAAGTTTTGATAGTTTCCTTAATTTATGAGTAGGTGTAATTATTTATATCAAGAATTAATCCGCTGGTTTCCATAAAGGAAGCCTCAAAACCTGACCTACCAGTGTTATCTCTGGACTTGAGTTGAGAAACAAAGTGTATCTAAAGCCAAGATTGTTTTAAGTTTTGTATAGAATAGGGAAGGTTTGGTGACCCGGTCTAGCTTTTATTGCTGTATGTGTCCCCACTGGAGATTTTTTTTTTGTCCTCCTGACTGTTGTCACCAGGACTTAAATGTTAGATTTTTCCCTCATTTGAAGTTTACCTCATTTGAAGTTGTCACTAGAACAGGAATAGAGGGGAAGGCTTCCAGTGAGGATGCCTATTGCAGTGACTAGTTGGTGATGACGTCTCTCAACTTTGAATCATTTCCACCCACTTCCTGTTGTATTTATGAAATAGAAAGTGAAGGGAGACCTTCCCACTGGGACAAAGATGGCAAAAAAAGGACAGGCTTCTGTCCTTTCCTATTTTATGCAACGCTAAAACAAAGTTTTGGCTTTAGATATACTTTGAAGTGGCTTGTGCGGCCAATCAGGTTTTATCTTGCAGATAAAACTAAAAATCTGTTTAGAATGTCAGCAGTACTCTTGCCCCAATTCTCATAAATTCCATTGTTATGAAAATAAATTGTTATACCTAATGAAATTTTAGGTCCGATACTGTGAACTCTCTGTAAAGAAAACCTGCTCAGTTGTTAGAATATATTCATAAAGCCAACAATTCACCGGCCAACCTCTACCAATAATCGAACAGATTAGAACATTGCTAGTGATAATCTGATGGTATAGGCAATAAAAAAATTAGTAAGAATGAGTATTTAGAAGGTTTAATTTAATAGCATTTGTTGCAATTCCCCAGCATGCTGGAAAATGTCCAAAAGTATTCAATTCCCTGTTACAGAAAGAAAGGACATTTTCCTTTTACATTATATTCTTTCAAATATTGTTAAAATTACAAGAGCCACAGCAGCTGTGAGTTTTCATTAATTGTTACATTAATGGGCAATATTCAGATCTTTCATTGAAATCATTATGTGCTAATGTTTGTCCGCTTTTCAAATGCAGATAATAGTATCTACATATGGTAGATAAACTGCACATGAGGTTATTAAATATTTTTTTATTAAATGTTGTTTAATAGCTAGTTGGTCTACCGGTGCTAATGATATGCATTGCATATATTTGTTGAAGCGGAAGTAAACTGCTGATAAAAAGAAAAAAATAGGCCCTAGGAACTGTTAGCCATAATGTGCTAGTATGCCCAGCATATAAGCATGGTAGGCTTGGCTACAGAAATGATTCTCTCCAGCACTCCTCCCTTCGGACACCGGCGCTTCCACCTTCTCCCAGTATTCTGTCAGGCTCCGAGTCATCAGTCTGTATTTCATAAATATAGAAGTGAAGGAGAGAGTGTCTGTGACTTGTATGTTGAGGTGAAAAGGAACCCACTTCCTTTTCACCTTAACATACAAGTCACAGACACTCTATCCACAGCAGGGGGTTGTGCAATGAATACATATGTGAATTGGAGGGGTCTATATACATGGAGCCAGCTTCCTAGGTAATCAAGAAGCTGGGCAGCAGGTAATAACACGCCTCCCGGCTTATTGATTCACCGGGAAGCCACCTCCATGCTAGCAGAAGTATCGGCGAATACCGAAATATAAAAATCAGTACTCGATAAACAAAAAAGGTATTGGTGCATCCCAAGTGACCACCCTCTGCCTTCAAAACGGCATCAATTCTTCTAGGTACACTTGCACACAGTTTGTGAAGGAACTTGGCTGGTAGGGTGTTCCAAACATCTTGGAGAACTAACCACTTCTGTGAATGTAGGCTGCCTCTAATCCTTCTGTCCCTTCATGTAATCCCAGATAGACTTGAAGATGTTAAGATCAGGGCTCGTTGGGGGCCAAATCATCACTTCCAGGACTCCTTGTTCTTCTTTACGCTGAAGATAGTTCTTAATGACATTGGCTGTATGTTTGGGGTCGTTGTCCTGCTGCAGAATAAATTTGGGGCCAATCACACGCCTCCCTGATGGTATGATGGATAAGTATTTTTCAGCATTAAGGACACCATTGATCCTGACCATATCTCAACTCCATTGACAGAAATGCAGGCCCAGAGTTCAAAGAAACCTCCACCATGCTTCACTGTTGCTGCAGACACATTGTACTGCTCTCCAGCCCTTTGGCGAAACAAGCTGCCTCCTGCTCCAGCCAAATATTAAAAATTTTGACTCATCGGTCCAGAACACCTGCTGCCATTTTTCTGCGGCCTTGTGGCCAAAAAGCCATTCCTCTAATGTGGAAACAAGGCTAAGCGACTCAGATATACATGAAAACATAGGAACTGGGGTGCAGAAAAATGGCGGCAGGTGTTCTGGACTGATGAATCTGTAAAACAAATAAATCAAGGCAACTGTATAGCGTATTGAAGAATAAGCAGTTCTGGAAGTGATGGTTTGGCCCCCACAGAGCCCTGATTTCAACATCAGGGATTAAACAGATACAGAAGGATTTGAGGCAGCCTACATCCACAGAAGATCTGTGGTCAGTTCTCCAAGATGACAACCTATCTGCCAAGTTCCATCAAAAACTGCAAGTGTACCTAGAAGAATTGATGCAGTTTTGAAGGCCACACCAAACTTTGATTTCTCTTCTGTACATAGGGGAGTTTGCGCTCGGTACAGAGAAGTGAATAAGGGTTGATGAGATCTGCCCTTTTGTGAAACTGACGCTGTTTTTATCTAGGTATGACTGAAAAATGCTCATTACAAGTAACTTTAGGTTCAAAAACCTAGGATCCAGCACTAAGCAACTTGTATATGACCATGTAAGTAGCTGAAAGATGGCTTATATTGCTTGTCAGGGAAGGAAATGCCTTGGGTCTGTGGTCAGCAGGAGAACAAAATGTTGGTGGTCAGTGCTGCTGTCAGTGGTCAGGAAAAATGTCTCTATCGTTGGAAAAAAAACCATTGGTGTTCATTGGGGAAAATGGTGGGATATTGGTTCTCAGTGGAAAGCAACAGGTGGTTGTGGGTGGACGGTGCATGTTTAAATGTATATAGGAGCTGGGAAGGTCATCATTTCTTCAGAGTTGACAGTGTAACCCTTCACTGCCTTCTGCTGTCATAAAACACAATGCACAAAGCACTCTACCCAGAAACAGGGAGCCAACACAAAGTGGCCAATTATCTGCCATATACAAGGTGGAGGGAGAGCAGAGATCCACAGAGATGTTAGTCCCGCAGTTAGGACATTTTCAAAGTTTGTCACAGCTGGTACTTGGTGGCCAAATAGTTTTTTAAGTCGCCATGGTGACTGGGAATTATCCAGCCCAGCTGTAATCCAACTGTTGGCTTTACACTGGAAGTGATTTGGGTGGCTGTAAAGGGCAAATGGGCAGATTACATGATGACACTGCTGTGCCTCCAATTTTAACCTCCAAATCAGAAGGAACTATGACCTGCATGTTTAGTGTAAAGATATGTCTGTTTTTGTAATGTGTGTATTTTGTAGCGCCTAGCCTTCTGGGCATGGATAACTATTACCTCCTGGTGAACAAAAGTCAGACGACAAGAGGGTGCAATTTCCAAAGTCCCTATTTCCTTTTGCCTTTTTCTTTTTTTATATATATAATTTAAAGGAAACTGGTGGTGCTTTATAAAACTGCAGCTTAAATACCTGCCAGAACATTGTCTGGTCCTGGTATGAAAATACGTGAAAGTTTAACGGTACAAGATTCTGCCTAGGAATACATTTTCAGTGTTTCATGGAGAAGCACTAGGTTGTAGCAAATATGTCACATAGGCCACTGTTGAGTTAAAGGAGAACTATAGGGTTAGGGCTTTTCCCCATAGTTCTCCTTAGGGTAACGGGAGGACACAAACTAGCGTCCTCCCGTCACCGTAAGTTCAGTATACCGCGAGCTGCAGCTCGCGGTATACTGAGACGCTGAAGCGGATCCCGACAATTATGTCTGGATCCGCCCAGCTGCGTGAGTGACAGCTGGCTCTGCCTCTCTAGAGGCAGAGCCAGCTGTACCCTCCCCCGTCCGTTGCGCCAGTCAACGCTGGAGGATCGGAGGTGGGAATCCAGCCCCTTCCCTGTCACGGCAGAGAGCCGTGACAGGTTCGAGAAGTGAGCGAACGCCGTTATGTGTTCGCTCACTTCCTGATCTACTGAGCCGACCTCTGACAGTCTCATTGTCACAGGTCGGCTAGAACTATGAGGTGAGTGAAAAGCACTCACCATAGTTCACCTTTAAGGACTATTCTAAGTTGGTCATCATCCATGGGCAAGGTTTTCAGACCCACCACAGCTAATGTTTCAGTATATTAGACAATGCCTTGGACAGCAGACTCCACAGACATTGGGTAGCATTCTTTTTTTTTTTACATCAAACCCCCTTCCCCTATCACAGATCCCAGCATCCATCCTATGTGCCTGTCTCCAGGAGAGATCTACCACAAGAAAGAATGACTGGATACCACCAACAGGACGGACTGTCCTACCGAGAAGAATTGAGAAGTTGACTTACCAAAGTTTTTTTCTATCATGCTGCTGTTGAAAAGATAACTCAAAGGACATCCTGTCTCATCTGGAACATGGAGCTGCCAGAATGCTGGCTATCAAAATTTTCAGGTAATGCTGACATTACCTGCTGACACCAGGCTTTTTGCACAATGGCAGTTGGGAATATATTTTAGATTTTCTGACCAAGGCAAGCCCTTTGTTGGTAGTTGTTTTGTGGAGTTTAGCTTATTTTCCTGATTTTTTTTTTTTTCTTTCTTTTCTTGAGCTTGGTTGGAGAATGGAGAAATGTAGTTTGGTAAGAAACAGAAGGGATTCTCTGGTACTGGCGAATAGCAAAATGTCATTAGGTAAGGAAATATGTTCAGTGTGGGCATTAAAATTGAAAGCTGTCTGTTGGATAGGGATCATTGGTAGGACATTGCAATGTATTCAATCTATTGTAAAGCACTGCAATGTGGCTTTGGTTGTTTTTTGCAGAAAGGTGAACATTTGCACCAATCTCAAGTTTCTTGCCGAATAATTCAAGTTTTTCTCTGGGATTGCTTTGTATTTGGCTCAATTAATTTTGACCTCAATCCTTTACTTAATATTTATTGATATG